AAATGTCAAATCTTAAAGTGAATTTTGAGAAAAGTTGTATAGTAGGAGTAAATCTAGGGGAGGGGGAGATACTTGAGTGTGCAAACATTTTAGAGTGTATAGTGTCTAATTGGCCTTTAAACTACCTTGGTCTACCTTTGGGAGATATTCCTCAAAAATGAGGGTTCTAGATTCTGGTTATGGAGATTCCAACAAAGGTGGCTAATAAGCTGGAAAAACTAATGAGAGATTTCCTTTGGGAGACAAGGGAGGAGAAAAAGGACCATAGGGTTGGGTGGGAGGTAGTGTGTAGGAGTAAGAAGGATGGAAGCCTTGGCATTAGAAACATAAGGAAGAGAAACTTGGCCCTATTAGGGAAATGACTGTGGAGATTTTCGATTGAAAAAGAAAAGCTATGGGCTAAGATAGTGGGTAGTATTCATGGGCTCGTAGAGAATAGATGTGACTCTAGGGTTTTGGCAAGGACTATAAGGGCATCTCCCTAGAAAGCAATCCAAGCTATTTTGCCTATGTTTTCTCCCTAGATCAGGTATGATTTGCACTCAAGCAATCTCATTAAGTTTTGGGAACATGTTTGGGTTGGGGATTATCCTTAAAAGACCAATTTCTGACTCTCTTCGCTATCTCTATCTTTAAGAATGTATCRGTATCCACTTTCCTTATACCCTCTAACTCGATCTCTAGGTTTGGTTGGAACTTGGGTTTGAGAAGAGATATCAAGGACACGGAATTGGATAGTACCTTAACATTATTATCCATCCTTGATGGGGTTTTCCTGGAGCCAAGAAAGGTAGATGGTAGAATTTGGACCCTCTTTCCTTCGGGTTCCTTTACTTGTGCTTCTTTCTTTAAAACCCTAACACAGGAGATTTGCTTCAAAGAAAAAGGCCCGATAGATGTTTGTCTCCTCASTGGTGTCCTTTGTAAAGCTRTTGGTGAGTCTGGTCATCACTTACTAATTTCCTATCAATTTGCAAACTCTATTTGGGAATGATTTACTTCTTTGTTTGGGTACAGGTGGACTTCCCCAATGAATGTGCAAAGCTTGTGTACTTCCTCTCCTTCCAATTGGCCAATAAAAGGGGCAAAGATTATGTGGAGATGTATTAAGGCCACAATATGTTGGACTATTTGGGAAGAAAGAAATTCAAGGATTTTCTCAGAAAAAGGAGAGAAGTTTGAAAGTAGTGTTATAGGTGCCTCATATAAGGGTAATACATTGGTTGAAAACATTTGAAATGTTTGCAGAATTTTTAGTAGATGATTTGATTAGAAAAYGGAAGGAAACTGCAAATTCAACTTCAGTTGGGAAGGTCTCAAGTTCCTAGTACTAGTGTTTTAAAAGGCGTACGCCTAGAGACGTGCCTCCAGGCGAGGCGCTCCCAAAACGCCCTAAGGCGTATGCTAGAGGCGCTGACACCTCTGAGGC